TTTCCAAGGAGAGGCTTGACATTTGTCACCATCTCAATTTTAGAGACTGAAGCACAAAGACACAGCTTTACAGTTTGTAGTCTTGAGACAGAACAGGGAGCTTAAAATGGCATTTGAAAGGTGTTAAACTTATTTTACAGGAAAATTTTCAATGTTCTACAGAGAAAAGCTACATTGCGGCATTCCTGCTAAACTTCAAAAGACCCTTAAATCTAATTTTCCCATCAGCTATTCAATATGAGGGATATATTCCAGCCTAAAACAAATTATATTACACTTAGAGCGGCTTTGATGTTGCACATTAAGGATTTTTTAAGAGGTCTGAAATGGGTAGAGCTCAGGTGTGATCGCCATAATCAATGAACATAGATGCTATTAGCAGTGATAATCACTTCCACGTGATTATCACTCAAACAGGAATGCAATAAAAATACACGAAACTCAAGTACTTACTGCCTCCACCTCAGTTGGGTCGTACCACACGTTGATATAGGGGTGCTGGAGAGCCTCATCCACTGAGATCCGCTTTGATGCATCTATTACCAGCATCTTTGATAGGAGGTCACGGGCTTGGCTCGCTGAAAGGAAATAATTGAACATAAAAAATATGCAGGAGTGTGCAGCTTGGTTGATGAGATCCATTTCCTGTTGAGATGGGATGTTGGTGCAGGAAACAATGTAGGCAGCAACCGCTTTGAAATGTAAACAAATGAGTATCCGTGAAGAAGGGAAAAAATTCATAACAAAATTTTCGTGGTACCACTAAAGGAAAAATTCTGCTTATATTCAGCTCCAAATGTATATTTTCAGACCCATTTTCTTTCCTAATACAGCGTCAAATCACAAAAGTCCCCTCAATATTCTTTATATTGTGAGGTCCCTTCAATAGTAGTGAGAAAACCCCAACAATCAGACAACCCCCTATGAGCGAGCAGGTGGTGACAGTGGGAAAGAAAAACTCCCTTTAAAAAGGAAGAAACCTCCAGCAGAACCAGGCTCAGGTAAAGGGAGGCCATCTGCCAAAATTGGTTGGGGGTTCACAGTTGAGATTAATCCCCATTTATCTTATTCTGTGACCCTAAGTTTGCCTCTATCTGAATCACACTGACCATTCCTTTTTAAGTTAAGGCCTCACTCACATAGAGACTAGTCACACAGAGGTCACTTGAAATCTATTAATTGTGAAGGGTTACAGGAGTTTGCTCGTTGTTGCCAACTTGTTTGCAAACATTCACCAAGTAGTTGCTAAGCAGCAGTGAAACTGAAGAGTGAGATGCCAATCAGAAACAGAGCACGTTCAGCTTCAGAGTAAAAGCTGTGTCATTGGTTGATTTCAGCAGTAAGACAACTTTAAATTCTCTAAAATTCTTTGCACCACACTTTTTCAAGTTTAACTACTGCTTGTTGATTGGCTAGCAAGCATCTACTAGCAATCAAAGCAATCACAAGGTGGTTTTTGGTGCAGCGTAGTCTTTGTGACCATTTTTACCCAGGGAATACATATTCTACCCTAAACTAACGGAGGTTAATAGGGGGTCATGAACCATTCCTGTATGACTGAGAGAATTAAACTTTCTTGTGACTGGCTACCCCTCCCAAGCAAAAAGTCTGAACGGTACATGGTTAGAGCTTATTTGCTCACTCAGAGGTTTGTACCTGTGATGTCTATTTTAGGGTTTTGACACTGACTCACACAGACCTTAAACTAGAAAATAAACTGCACAAAGCCAAAGGTTTTTGCCTTTTCAACAGAGAACATGTATCCACTTTTGTCTCCATTTGAGCCTGTCAAGGACATCCGCCCTGATTATCACACATTGTTTCACATTCTGTATGAAACCTGACAGAGTGAGTCATCACAGCTAATTGATGTTGTTAAAGCAGAGAACTTGAGGGGGGAACACACTGTCATCACATGTTCCTACCTCTGTGAAGTAACAAGGACTGAAAAAGAACTACTTTTTTTGCGACATCTTACAACAGCTCTGTGGCATTCACTGTGAGTGTTCTTGTCACCACCTCTCCATTTACAGAGAAAGACACGCTTGAGGTGAATTCCTCTTCACAGAAGAAACAACTCTGGTGCTGTCGGCTTCTAGAATAAGTGGTGAAGCAAAGACTGCCGCCGAGCAGTGATCTTGCTTTGGCTTTGCTGTCAGCAGATATTTGTTAGGTTGCAAACCCAAAGCACATGTGGAGGAGAAGTTCATATCTATACGTCCTTGAATGTGTACTCACTGACTACCCACGGACTCATCTGTTACACTTCCAAATGCAAACCCCCCCCCCCAAAAAAAACCCCAAATACCTCTAAAAAGTCACAGATGATAACTTCTTGACAGTGATTTCAAGCAGTAAAACTGAAACACACTGTGGCATAACTAATGACTGCCTCATTGTTCCTACTAACAACCATCCACCAAAACTGTTTAAACACTCATTACCTTCTTATGCTTGAGTAAGAATTTACAAGACACCCCTACCTTTCAGTTTATTGTGCTCAGAGTCTGCAGGAAACAGGACATCAGGGAAGAGCTTCTCGAAGCTGTAGCCAGCATACCGTGGCCGGTTCTCCACATAGGTCCTCACGGACTGGTTGAGCTTCATCAGGAACTCCTGAGATGGTGTCCCCAGCTGCTCGATCACCTTGTTCCACTGGTCAATATCTTTTGGTTATAGTGTTAAGAAAAGTGTACGGCTGGATTGGAAAACAAGATGCTCCAGTTTGAGAGAAGTTTGAGGAATGTTTGTGACAGGGCTGCATTGATCTGGTTTGGACATGTTCCCCAAATACTGAGCTGATAAAGAAAGCTCAAACAAAACAAAACAAAACAAAAAGAACAAAAGCAAATAACTACAACCACAAATAGCTACAACACAGCTTTGAAACTAAACAATTTTCGTTTGCACATTATTCCTGTAGAAACCTGTTAGGATGGGCTGAGTGGGATACACACAATCTGAAAAAAATAATACACACACACACACATATATTTCAAACATCTGCACTCTGCATAGCTAGACGTCAAGTGAAGCAATGTGAGGTTCACCTGTAAGACATTGAGATGTTGGAAATACAAGTCACACACATGTAAGGACACATAAGACATTCAGACTGCTTGTTCACATCTTTGTTCATCCTCAAACATGAATGAACAAACAGAAGGAGAAACCTAGCCTTGAGAAAACAAAAAGCTCTGGTTGTTAAGTTCCTAATGCCAAAGTACATTTGCTATGATTGATTTTTTTCTTTCTTTATCCTTTAGTCTGTTGTTTAGCAGCTTTTGTGAATGTAAATAATTTGCATAAAGACAAATCGAAGCTACCGACTGCTAGCATCCTAGTAGTAAGCTAATGAGGAAGCTAGTAGGGCTGGGCGATATGGCCTAAAATTCATATCGCGATATAATTTGAAGCACGTGCGGTAACGATATATATGACGATTTTGGCGTGCAGAAATCTGTTAAAAAATGTTTTAGTACAACTTTGGTAAGCCGCACTGCTTGATGGATTGTCAGAGCATTACGTTAAAAACGGTCTAAATCATTTCATCTGTAATTAAATCATCAGCGTTGCTGCTTTATCGGGTGTAACAATTAAGTTTAACATCCATGCATCCATGAAAACAGAATTTATTAAATTTAACGGAGTTAGAAGTTAACAGGAAGTTAGCTCGCTAGTTTACACCTAAACATTTCATACCACATTCTGACTGAGAGATTTCTGAAACTAATTAAAACGTACAGCTCTGCTACCACTTCCAACATAAATGAAGACAGAAAACTAAACAGCAGTGGCGTTTGCAGGATTACTGAAGTTGGACTACCTGGTATATAATGTTGTGCTACGTGATTGCTAGCGACACAGCTATGTGAGCATAACATTAGCACAGTGAAGCTGGAGGGTGAACGCCAACTTTTTTTCCACTCGATAAAAGTTAACGTGAGGGATTCTGGTGGTTAGGGACAAATGCAATCGCATAGCAGGATGCTATACATGGGCCAAACTTCAGTCAGGAGAACAACTGAGATCATTCATCCACAATACGAGGTTAGCTACTAATATACTGCAACAACATGGGAACAGAACAACTGCGAGAGAATTCAACATTAATGAATCAATGTTACGGAAGTGGAGGAAGCGCAGTTTTTGGCTTTCCCCATATTTCAACAGTGCTTCATCTCTTTGCTACGACTGTCGCCCGGCATAATTTGCAGATGATAATGGTTTTAGCCGCTGCGATGCTTTCGACCAAAACAGGCGCAGCTTGATGACATAATCAACATGCGCTATCGCAATAGAGAGATAGACTAAAAAGCTCTATCATTGGCCAAATTTATATTGTTTCTATCGTATATCGTTTATATCGCCCACCCCTAGAAGCTAGCCTTTAGGCCATGTTTTCAACCAAACACCCTACACTGCTAAAAAGATCTGATAAAAACAAATCAATTGACAATATCATCCTTGACACAAAGCTACAGAGTGGCCTTTTTTCACATAAAAGGTGGAGCTGGCTTTTGGATCTTAAACTAAAACTAATTGGGGAGGGCTTAAAACCAGCATTCTCTCTAGTGTCCAACAGGGACTGGCGTTTGCGCAACTGGCGTTTGCAAAAAGCCTTGTTTGAAAGTTTGTAGTAAGGGGCCTTGGTCCCAACCTCGGTAAATACTTTCCTGATCTTATGGGCTCAGTCACTTATTCTGAATAAAACTTTAAGTCCATTATGGGAATTTTTGTTACTTTAAGTGTCAGAAAGCAAGATTGTTTAGAATATTCTAGCAAATGCAGACTGATAGTCAGTGAATGTGCAGTTTTACAGTCTGATACATAATACACCTAGATGATGAAATTCTAATGTCATATTGAAGTTTCAGACTAGGAACTAGTCGGTGATATCATGATCAGCCCATTAAAAAAAAACCCATAACTACTAAACAAAGGAGCTCTTTAACAATATGTTGTTATATAGGGACCTTTTTGAATCAGGGCATAAAATGCCTGTATTCTTTCCCTCCACTGCTTCACAATTTCTCTAGTGGGATCAAATAGGGTTGTAGTGCATGTTTACTTTCTTGTTATAACAATTTATATTGAACAGGGTCTGATACAGCATAATAGAAGTGCTAACCTTGGTGTAATAAGACTTACTGGGTCACCTAAATAGATTGGAGCCATTATTCTTGTCACCACATAATTAAACTTGTACTTTGCCTGCTGTAAGGAGCCAGCATTTGCCATTAAAGATGGCTACAATTCTTCCAGCTCTGCCACTGCGAGTGATGAATGTCGACCCTGAGCGCAATGTCGTCATCGCTCATTAAACAGCAGGTTTGGCAGGTTTTTTTCCCCCCTTTTGTGTGCAAAGATATGAACAAGATGTCAGACAGAGGATGGGACAACGGTTGTTTGAGGAGGACGGGGGTTTGGATGGAGGTTCAACTTAAGGATACGATCAGTGCCTGGAAACAACACACTACCCCGGACCATTTCAGCCATGATACAGCCAACAGACCAGACATCAACTGAAAAATGAAATGACAACCACCGAATTAGCATGCAGGACTGAAAACCAAATGGAAAACAAAAATGAAAATAAGAACAAGACGAGAGGGGAAATTATAATCCATAAACACGATGATGTTCGTGCAAGGTGACACATGACGCAAAATGACCTGCATGCATCTGAGAGCACTCTCACACCTGGATCAGTGTTTAACAGGTGTTTGCCTCCATCATAGCTGCAAACATGTATGTTTACTTCTCCTTCAGACCATGACTTTTAAGATTTATGAGAACTTTGTTTTTTTGCAAAAATGCAATTTAATGTTCTCTGTATCCTCGCTGCAACTTAAGCTGGAAACTGTCAACTAATGATGCCAAGAAATCATTTTTTTGTGTTAAATTTTAGACTAAGAGTTTTTCTTTCACATTACAACAAAAGCCATACGCTAAGCAGTTCGAGGATACTGGAGGGCATTTTATGCAGTTCACTTCTCAGCTATGGCAGAGCAAACTATTAATTCTATTTCAGGTCTTTCATGTGACAGTCATGGTGCTCGAAGCAACAGTGTTGCTGCTCGAGTGAGTGAGGAGGGAGTCGAGGCAGTGGATCTGCAGGAAGAGCAAGTGGGCGGCTGCAAGTCAAGGTGTCAGGCAAATCCAAGAAACAGAATTTCTATAGCTGCGATGTATTTGATGAGAAAGAAAAATAAAAAAAAATAAAAATCAGGAAACAAAAGAAGATCTGAAAATGTGACTGTTTTGAGGCCATCTTCATTTCACATGAAATGCCAGACACTGCTACAAGCAGCTCAAGGATACAATCCCTTCCTGGAAAAAGGATTTTGTGGCGAACCATTTCTGCCATAATGCAGCCCACAGCCCAAATATCCACTACATATGCGCAGCATAAAAGGAGGGAGAAGAGAATAACCCAAAAAAAAGAGAAATAAAATAAGAAAGAAAGATGCAACAAGTCAGCAGGAAAAAAAATAAAAGAATCAGGTCAGTGTTTCTGATGAGCATTAGTTTTTATGAGACCCTCTAATTGTTTTTTTGAGAGGGGACTTGTACTACCTGCACCTGTGCTGTAGGGGAATATGTACACTTTAAATCAACAGAATTTAAAAAGTAACAAACAAACAGTGCAGCTCTTCAATTACATTTAGTGTTTTTGCTTCCACCTGACTCTCAGCATGTTATTAGCCAATCAATTCAGTCTTTATTTCCTTACTGGGACAGAACATTATAACAAAACTCATGGGCTCAGTTCCACTCATGGGCTTCTCTATACATTTTATGTCCAGTATTACGGTAACCTAATGAGCTGTGCTGGCATTCGCCTTACAGTGTCTGCAGCTCAGTGCTGATAATGTCAATGTCTCACACAATCACAGCAGAGAATCTCAGACTTCCCACAACAAGGCCATCTTCTTAAAAGGAAATGCTCATCTAACACAAACCACCGGCACCACAGCTGCACCCAATGCGTCTCCCTAGCTTTTACTGCACTGTTATAGATTTTTATCTACATACAGAACTGAGGTTTTAGTGGTGATAGGTTTTAATCACATCTTTTATGCTTTGTTTCATCTCTGCTAGCTTTGGGCTGCACTAATTCATAGCACAGTCCTCCTAGTCCTCTACTAATCTTTCTGTTCAACTATATGATATTGGTGCTCTGGCATCTAATGGATCAATATGACATATTATACCATACGTCAACTTCTGCGCTTCAGACTGCCTTGCTCAAACTGTGATGTGTTTCAAGCAGGGGTGCACGGTGAAACTGCTGAAGCATGCATTAGTGCCTGTATTCATACTGAGGTTTATTTTTTGGCTTAGCTGAGCTGAGCTCAGGACAGGCAACCTGTTAATAAAACATCAAACACATGCTAAAACACTGCTGGGCACCACAGTCCTCAGACAGGAAGTTCCCCACAAAGCACCGATGCCACACATGCCAACTCCCCCCTGAGCGTAACCTTTACAGGAAAAGGGAGTGTGTGCCTGTGTGTGGGAGAGAGTGTTTGGGAAGTGATCCTGAAACATCTCAGGGGGTGAGGGCCATGCAGCAGGCCAGGCAGCAGCTCCTCATTAGCCGGTCGCTGTCAAGAAGCCGCTTCATCCACTTCCTGCACTTACCGTTGGCCTGGTAGCCCATTCCCAGGATGACTTCAGGGGCGCGGTAGTAACGCGTCACCACGTAGGGCGTCATGAGGAGACCAGTGGCGGCCGTCCGGGCCAAACCAAAGTCCAGAATCTTCAGTGTGCAGTCGGACTTTACCACGATGTTGCTGGGTTTCAGGTCCTGTTCAAACACAACACCACCACAAAAGTTACAACCTGACATAGATTAAACATTTCACAAAAGACAACTAAAAGACTTGACTGAAAATCAAACTCGCTTTGCAAGGAGACTCTTTTTTTTTGGTGAGGGGACAAATATTCCTAGAAATGTCTATATATGGGAAACACGGTCGCTGGTGTAATGGGGCTCAAATATCAGGGTTTGTTTTCCCTCAGAAGAGGCGATCATTCTCTCCTCTACTAAATGAAAAGCTGATACCTACCGAGAGGATGATGAATCACTGTAACCACAAAGTCTTTGTTTTGTTTGGTTATACCATTTCATCCTTGTTTATCTGTTCTCTTGAGTTCAGTGTGTTCATTCCCCTGTGTGCTTTTTTTTGGCAATGCTTCCTTACAAGAACTTAAAAAACAGCCCATCTGCTCAAGGGTGTCTCCTCTCTTCTGAAGCTAACCCGACAGAATCGAGAGGAACTATAAGCAATCCTGCGATAAAGACTCATTGCCTATGGCTATAACCTGGCCATATGCCAGGTGATTTATTGCAATAATTTCCCTCTTTCAATCTTATTTACATGCAGGCTAATCTGATAACATCTTAATGAGCCTCGTCTGGTTTTGAGAAGAGAATAAACAGACTACACCTGAAGGGTACTCACAGGCAAACGCTAATTTCAGGAAATCTTTAATGCGCTACAGCTGAAAATCCTCCTGATAATAATTATCATCACTTGTTAATCATAAGAACATCAGACTGGAGGGCTAAACCACAGTCAGTCATACTGCCTCCTCCGTAGGTAGCTTCTGAGCAGCTGAAACAGACCAGAGAGCTCTGATCACTGAGACAATGCCCCCAAAAAACGAGAGCACGATCTCTGGCGATCCGTGACTCACGTTGCATCTGTTCACCTGATGAAAGCTTTGCGTGCCAAGCTGTGCCAGTGTGAGCGCGGCTGGTTAGCTCCGCCTTCGGCTCAATTAGTTCTGCCTGGCAGAGCAAGAGGAGCTCTGCTAATCTACTGGAGCACATCTCTCTGAGGGTGATTGACAGGAAGCTGCCAGTCACTCTGTGTAAGTGTGTCCATATGAAAAACCTATTCATACAGCTGTTGATGCCTCAGGGTGTGTACTGTCATTCTGTGTGTGATGTTTCAAGGTAACGACAAGTGTGCAGTGTGTGTCTTCACTGCAACCTGTAAATGTGTGATTGTGTTATCTGGTGCTTTCATGTTAGAAACGCCAGTAAATGTAAATGCAATGAGATCCAGTCAACTGCAGCTTTAAAAGAGCGCCTTGACATTTTAGCAGGCACACTTATCCTGTGGACAGGCTGGAAGGTTCCACTTTTATGTCTGCACACTAAAGAAGCTGCAAGAACCCATAAAGCTTAGCCCACAAGCATGCCATCTATAGTGTATATCATGGCAGGAAGTTAAACTACATCACATTTTACTTAGAGATGATTTAAGCATTGGTTTGCACAACTGGTCACCAAAAACGTACCACCGTCACTGCCTTCCTCCAACCACCCTACTGTGTTTTCACTACTAAACTTCGATATCTTTCAGTAGTCTCGTATTTTTCCTTTGATGTGAAACTTTTAATTCATAAAAACACGGACTTAACTCAGTGTAAGCTTCAGCTTGCAACTGCTCCGAGTCACATCTGTACAGCTGCATATGTGGCCCCCCGGTATGGCTTACCCTGTGTATGATCCCTGCGGCGTGCAGATGTTTGATTCCACATAACATCTGGTAGAGCAGGTACGACAGCCTCTCGTGGTCCAGCTCCATCTGAATCACCTGACAGAGGTTGGCATCCATCAGTTCCATTACTAGATACCTGCAAGGAAAGAGGTTCAAATAAGCACACAGGCAGAGACAAACAAACACATGGGCTTTTTATGTTTGTTTCAGTGGGTGTGTTACAGTGCATAGATGCAGCATGTGCACGTGCCTGACTCTGTATTACGTTTCCTACATGCCAATAGAATATGAAGCTACATTAAAGTGTGAGATTCTCTCACCCAATCAGCTTTAATTTGCCTGGCATTTTGGAAGTGACAGTACGGTATCTCCTCCAAACAGTGATGATGTTATCACAGTTGTCAGCTGTTACATCATCAGTCACTACATGGAGTAAGAAACCTCTGACAGATTTTTTGTTTTGTTTTGTTACAACAACAACAAAAAACAAAGTAACATCTTTGTGTCAGAACGATCATTTACAAAGTAGAACTTGTGCTTGCACACAGCTTATAAAATACTGAAACTGGCTACAATGCATTACCAATAGTATGGGTAATATGTATGTGCCAGTATACATTCAAGTAAACAAACACCAAAGCAAATGCAGTGTTCATCCTCCGACTCTGCGATGGCCCCGCTACCCTCTGGCTACGATTTGTCCAGTTTCCTTTTTAGCTCCAATCAGGCAAACACAGAAGAGTAGACACAAACACACACACACACACACACTAACCCTAACCCTATGTGTATACACACTCTGGGCTTCAAAAGGATGGCATTAATCATGTTCGTTCCCATCATACTCTTGCTAACCATCACTTCCCCCACATCCCAGCATTCCCCTCTGATTTTACAGCCACTTACACGGACATCTTGTCGACTTCGAAACACATCCAGGGCATCCAGGGCAACTAAAGTGCATGCATACATTTCACATATATATAGCGTAGCTACAGCTCTTGACAGGTGAGTGTCAGGCTGGTGACAGATTGTGGCCAATCAGCCTGAAAACTGGTTCATTCCTGTCACCAGCTGATTCAGTCTGTGCTTTTCTAATATTCACCATGAAATGTGCACACCTGACATCCCACTGACTATAAAGCATAATTTCCCTGAAGTATTCAACGTGAGGCACAACAAGAGATCTGGCTAAGCCCCCAAAAAGATCATCTAAGCCCCCGGCGTTCTGTATCCTGTATTGATTTGAGCAGCTGCGATTTGACTCGCTGATACTCACACATCTTGGAATTCCTCCAGTGTCTTCTGTGGTGTGAATACATTTAACAGCCCGATAATCTGCAACAACAACAAAAAAAAGTGTAATTGCTGGAGTTGTTTTATATATTTGACAACATCCTCACATCCGCATCCCTGGACACGAAGGCCAACGAGGAAGCGTTAGCATTAATTATGAATAACAGCAGGATAGTTTCCTCATTCACACCTCCGAGGCAGCAGCACCGAGAAGTTTGTGGTCATTCAAAACACTATTTTTTATGGTTCGTTTCCATGTGTGGAGCTCAGCAGGTTCTGCTTTAAAACCAACATATTGTGCAGTCCTTTTGCTTCCCTGCTGACTCACACTTTACACAGCTCTGAATATAGTGACTCTAAAGATCAATACTTAAATCATTTTAATGGACAGGAATGAGAATAGCATTTAAATGCATCCTGCTAACACTTTTCAAAGCTAATTGTCCCCTTTAATTTCTACTGTACATTCTCTGCTCCTGCTTAAATTATACTTCTATTCAATGCTCAGGTTTATCTACATGAAATGCACCTACACTATACAGTCAAAAAGTAAAGCTATCCTCTAATGTCTAAAGAGTTAGGCCAAAACATTCACACCATGCAAAAAGAAACAAAAATGCCATTCAATTCTGGCTCTTACATTCTTGTGGTTGACACATTTCATTAGCACCAGTTCCCTGTAGGCCCGTTTTGCATGAGTTTGATTCTGAAAGGGTCGGCTCAACTTCTTGATGGCAACGTTCCTCTCCAAGTTGTGGTCGTACGCCGAACTGGGGTGAAGGAGCACAGGAGAAATTCAGTCAGCAATAATGAATGTCAAAAATTGCTCTTTGTTTTTCCCTGACGGCCAAAGGAATATGAAGATTTTGCCTTTTTCAGCTTTATTTATTAGGGACAGTAGAGACTGACAGGAAAGGAAGAGCAGAGGAAGAGAGAAATAGAACCACTGAACTAAAGTCTGTTGCTAATATTTTGCCCATAATATACACCTAAGGGGGAGCTATACTGAATGTGGCAGTCTCTAAAAAGTTATCCCTTGTGTTGCACTTAAGTCCAAAAATCTGTAGTTCTGCAAACTGCCATAAAGCCCAATGACCCCTGGGTTAAAAGACCAGCTTTACAACAGAAACAAACATGTTTACATCCCATTACCAAAAACTGATTTCCCTGGTCATGAAAGCCATACACAAACTACATTTTGATATAAATCATCAAATAAGGTTTTGATGTTGTGTATGTTTAAAGGTTACAGAAAGCTACAGCTTCACAGCCAGTAACAGAACCACTCGACCTGAAGTCTTGACCACGTTTGCGGCTCCTTTTGAAGCATTTTTAATAGAATCATTTGACAAATAGCATGCCTTGCTCGGTTTTAAACCTGACCAAATATACCATATGTGGTTTGAGAGAATTTTAGAAATCCATCTAATAGAACATATAACACGCTCCCCGAGGCCTCAGAAAGAGAGAGGGAGACCCTTTTTTTTTCACTATTTAAACAACAAAGCTTGGTTTTTCTTCATTTCTGCAACCAAAATATTAAATCCTTACACCCGTATGGTTTCCTTTTAAATAAAAGAAAAATTTAGTTGGTAATAACTGATAAACTGAGGAGCGGAAATTTCTATGCAGAATGAGTCAGCAAACTTTGTCTATTGAGCAATACATTCGGACAGCCCATAATGTCTCCTCCAACTTTAAACTTAGGTTGGTTACTCTATCTGTTAAAAAAAAAAACAAAAACAACATCGCTGCCAATGAGCTAAGGTTTATAATTGGCTGGATAAAGCACCACGTAGACCCAAATTCTTTTCTTGTCAATGCCGGCCATAAGTGATGTTTCATATGCAGAGATGTACATCAGTAATGCCAAGTATGCTTTACACTGTCAGAGGAACTTTAGTTATAACTGTAGAAAATGCGCGAACATGTTTAGTCCTGCTGTGCTGCTCTGTTTTACCGCTAAAATGTCAGCAAATGCTCTTAAATGTCACGTTAAAGAGCTCCACTGTGCAGCTGTCATAGAAATAAAATGAATAGTCAAACAAGTGTACAAACAAACACATTTACAATTGTTTTATGCAGCATCCCTCTGTAGGATTTTCTAGTAATATTTTTTATAAGCTTCATATGAGCGGATTCTCTTGTAGATGTAACTCAATTGTGTCATTTTGTGAGGACTAGAGTCAGATGGTGCAGAAATGTGAGTGTGCAGAATGCCTGAAGCAGAACGTGCATGTTAAAAAGGGCTCTGTGTTGTAATTGCTTTGTAGTCCACCCCTCATGTGAGTGGGTCTGTATGCCTCAATTGATGATATTAGGAATATCCCCTCTCCCTGACATAACAGACAAGAAACTGAGCATTTAGAGCAGCGTCAAGCCTGAGCTTTTGGTTCTTAGGGATTACTTGTACATACCTGACTTTATTACTTTAAACAAAACTTTGATCACGTGTGTACGACCTCACAGCGTCGTAACATTACAGATGGGACAGAAAATAAAGAAACGTTTAACAGGCCCACTATTAATCCTTTTCCAACACTAAGCATTGCAGTTGTTGAGATTTTGTAGCCAGCAAGTTCTTACATGACAAGCTAAAGTCTTAGCTGACACTCTTAACTGTGTTGTGCATCAGTTTTCTGGTATTCCTACCTGGTATGAGGAAGAGAGAAGGTTAATGACAGCAAAGACGCTAGATGAGTTCGTCAAGCTCATCTTATGGTACAAGTTGAAATGGATTCATTCTGACAGCTCATTCAATTCAATTCAATTCAATTTTATTTATATAGCGCCAAATCACAACAAATGTCGCCTCAAGGCGCTTAAAGCTTAAATCACATGAGCTTAAAGCTCATGTGATTTTGATGGGCCAATCAATCAACCACTTGATGCATAAGCAAAAAAAAATAAAAATTCAAGGCTCATTGCAAATATGAAAGAATACAAAAAAAAAAAAAAAAAAAAACCCCTAGAAAATTTTAGAACCCAATTGTGGTGTGGATCAGTTCACTCCAACACCTAACCCTCTCACATCAACAAAACTTCACAGGAAAGATAACACCACACTGTGCTGTCAACAAATACAATATTATGCATCGATTTTCTGTGTTGTATGCAACTTATGCTGCTCTTTTTACATCTGTTCTTATCAACTTTCGTCAACGGCAGCCGGCAAAGTCCAAGGTGTGCTTTTCAAGCTTTCATCAAATATTAGACAGGTTTTGGTGGTGAAGTTAAATCTAACTTTTCGCTGAGTAAAGAAGTGACCAATCTGCAAGTGAAGGTTGTCATCTGGGTCGGCAGAAAGTAAATATACTCACCAAACAATTCCCTGTGCTCCGGATCCAATGGGTCTTAGGTTCTGGTAGCGCTTTAAAACTGTAAAAGTTGAATCGCCCACATCTATACTGTAGTACTCCCTTTCACGCTTGTTTCGGTTCATGGTGAAGTCTTGGACAAAATCGGTGACTGGGCATCCAAATGGAGCTCGCCTCTCAAGACCTGCAAAGTATTAACAGGAGATCAAACTATAGAGATTTCTAGAACACATGTTTCAATCAAGAAACACTATAGCTGTGCATTACAGCACACCCTCTTTATGTTTAAAGCCCAGTGTAAAATCAGTGAGCCATAAATAGTTGTCCCCAGGCAAAGTATGCGAGCAGGTCCTACCAGCATCCAAGTTGCCGTTTGTTATCTCAGCCAAAAAGTATTTTTCCACCGTCCTTTTTCTTTTTTGGCATATTTACAATTTGTGCATAAAAATGTGAATGACAAAGCAGAAAAGTGTTGAAAATGCATCTCCGCGTGTCTGTAAATGCTACAATTGACAGACTAAGCAGATAAATCATCGAGTAAATGATACACACTGTACTGTGCTGAGACTGGAGGAACAAATCTATCAGATCTGAGCAAAGACCACCCTCACTGACTCATTACATCAAACAAAACAGAAAAGCTGCATTTTCAACAGTGTTTTTCTCAAGGCTTTCCTGTTCAGGAAATGCAAGTAAACAAGTTCTAAAAACTGGAGTTACTTCAGTCACCATGTAGGACTAGTTCCAAAAGTCCATACCCACAGATCAACTGTACAGCACATAAACAAATAGATTTGGCTTTAAAGGCACAGCGACAGTCTGCTCTTAAGTTTCTCTGGCGCTCAAAATTACACAGACAGGTTACTAACCAAGCTAGGTACCCTTTCTTCCAGTTGACAGTCACATAATCATCTTTTTCAGTAGTACCTACTCGGATCGACTCGGCGTGGTTCGCCACGGTTTTCAGTATTTTCCCATTAGGTCATAGTACCTGGTACCAGGTACTTTTTTAGTACCTGCTCGACCGGGATTCCAAGCGATCCGTGCAGGTACTAAAATGTGACGTCGCCACACTGCAGTAGCATCACAGAATGAGTCATGAGAGCGTCTTGTTCACAAAAATTGAAAAAAGAAAACTGCACCAGATTTAAAACTGATATTTGAAGGATTTCTGTTGAAGCACTCAGGAAAGTATTTCCATACACTATCCCACAATACAGGCCGTCTGACACAGTTTATTATCTTACAATGGCTACTAGTTAATTCAATCAAACAAGCCAGGAGGAAGCAGTTATCTTATCGGTTACATTTAATCAAATGTTCACAGTGTTAGCATTATGTATGACCCTTTCATAATGAATATTTAGGATCATTATCTGTACCAAACAAAATCAGATTTATTTCTTGAAAATAACTGACTTGTAGTGATCAGGTCTACGGCAGCGCAAAACATAATGGTACAAATCCTGTCTTGCTTTCTTCCGCTTCTTCCCCCCCAGTTAAACCTGGAAGAACTCATTAATCTCAGAAAAATCAAACCAGCCGTGTCTCAAATCCTTAAGGAAGCTTCATCAACTGTAATGACAACTAAGCCTCTGCAATCCAACTTATAGCCCAGAGGACCTGCGCACACATATATAAATTCCAAAGGTCAGGGCGACGGGAGGAGTGATCAAGGCACAGAGGAAGAAGGAAGCCGGGTTTCGTGCAGGGGATGAAGATGACAAATCATTAGTGGAATTTGGAGCATTGTGCTGAGGAGGTTGGCTGTGTAGTGATAGCTGTACGTTCCACGGGTCATTCCCTGAACTGGATTTCTCCAGCTACTGCAGGCAGACCACACCCCACCCTCTTCCTTTTCAGTAACAGTCAGCCCACCAACCTCCTCTACTCTGTTTGATACACAGAAATTAAGAACTTATTATCTAGGATAGCTTTCAAAGAAATATGTCTATTAACAAAATCATATTAAACAAAGCACTCTGTTGGTACGAGTAGTACAACAACAAATACTGTTTTGGTATGGAAGATATTATTTGGGAAAAACACCTTTATAACAGCAGTGGAGTCATCTCAAATTCTGTGATTACTTACTAAGATTAATCTAGAAAGCAAGTGACCGATACCAGTGGTCGGGGTCTCTCTCTTGGAATTGAATCATTCTGTTCCAGTCAATTTGAAAAATAGCAGCAGAGGCATAAATAGCAGAAACAGCAGTACCGAACAGATGTGGTATGGCTGTGATGACTCGATATGTAGTATATCTAAGAAGGTGTGTATGAGGATACAGCACATTGTAGGATTTCAGAGGGGTCAAGTACCTATGGCACATTTAATGCATAAGTATAAAACCCAGAACATACTTTCAGTCAAACAAACAGTGATTACTGCTGCTGCCCCTCCACATGACCAACACAGGTGCATTTCAAAGAACAGAAGAAAACACAGCCAACTGCTGAGGGCAAGAACATTCAGCTTTATCTCATTTTCTTCACCTTTGCTTCAATGCTGCTTTGAAGGACTGAAGTCAAGAACACCTCAGCTAAACCTGAGTCACATCTGAGACGCAGTGCAGAAAGGAACTGAGTCACTGCGCTTGCCCAACAGTGACGGGTGTGAAAGCACCCAATACGTACTGAGATTGGATGTGGTAGACCACATTCTGAAGTAGTCTACGTCACACGGGGTCACATTCTTTTTGCTGCGTTTCTTGAAAACGCGGCGGTAGTCACATCAAATAATGTGCCTCCTGCCATATTTTTAAAAATACACTATTTGTTTTGCATATAGCTGTTGGCTAAACTGCACACTAAAAATAAAGTACTGTGTTTGACCACAGTACAGATCAGGTTGTAGACTTAAAAGATGCAGTCAAGATTTGACTTTGAAGTGCAGGGCATGCATGCGTGCATGTCTGCTGGTTCCTTTCAGGGCTCAGACATTATACACTCACCTATAAAGTACGATCCTATTATAAGTGGTCAGTCAAGATGCATCCTCAGGCCAGTTGTAAAGTGACATACTAGTGACTGGATATTCCTACTTTTATGTTGATGCCCAACAAGAACAGGGCTCTAATTCCAAGTATCAAAAATGAGATGCGCGTCTGTTTGAAGACGTATCGTTTGAGTTTTAATTAAAACTAGAAAACCCGAATTACAAGAAACCAACAGATTCATTCAGAAATGGATGTTTATACTGGCTCACATGCCACCCTGCCTGTCTGCTCTAAACACAGCTCTGCCTGCGCTGCTTGTGTTTTGTCTTTTCTGCTTCTTCTCCTCTGTGCCCTCTCCTCTCCTGCTGCATTATTCTCTTTGACTCTGATCAGAACATCTCTCTTCCCCGTTGCAGAACCTTGTCAAAATTCGGCATCTAAGCCGGACGGAGAACAGGTACAGGGATGAATACAGAGCACAACTTACAAACAACCCTGAACACGAGCAAGAAGTGTGCTGCTGGATGTTTAACAAAAAGACACACAGTGTATACAACAAAGTGTACACAACAAAACAGCAGGAGAAACAATAATAAATAGCTAGCTGCTAAATTCAATAACAGTCTTCATGCATTTTTAATCAGAGTTTACCTACACAGGCTCTCTGGATTGGCATTTCAGCTGAAGGAAAATGCAACATTTTGCTGTGTTAATGTGACGTAATAGTATCCAACTGTGCACTCAATGTCCCTCATACATTAAACCTGCAGCCATCCTTCCCTTAAACTCCAACCAGCTCTTGTACGATGCTTCAACCGACACTAGTCTGAGCCTTACAACCCTTATGGTGCCTTTCCAATGTGCAAGCTGATTCCACAGGCACTAATGCAGCCCATACCATCAGTGATGCAGGCGTTTAAACTGAGTGCAGATAACAAGCCCAATGGTCCCTCTCTTTTTCAGTCCACAGACTAAACCAAATTAAACCAAACGCACCTTTTAACTCGTGTGTCTTTGAACCATACAGTCAGATTGTTTTGGTTATTCTTGTGTTTACGATCTCTCTCTTTGCACTGGTCTCTTTGGCTCAACTGCATGCTGGATTGGGTTCATAACCCTCTTTGGCTCTCGGAGGAGGCGGACGCATCTTTCCCCTTTCCCTCCCTTATCTTCCTTGCTGCTGCTTTTATGTGTTTGTCTAGTCTCGTCTCTAACTCTAACCCTCAAAGAGTTTCCCAGTCTTGTTCTCTAAAACCTAAAGGATTATGGATTTGATCAACTGCTCCCGTAATGGAATTGACACCCTGCTAGGCTTGGTAGAGCCTGATTGTCCTGCGGAGACGTTTGCTGCCGGATACTCGATGGTCGGTTGCGTCGTGTGTCTGGCGACACTCTTGACGGAGGACAATGAACGACATCTACCAATTTGGAACCACAATAACAGAGTTCGGGCCGACTGGAGCTGGCTTATTGAAGAACAAGAAGCGGCTACAGCTGTTCACAATCCCATAAGTCTGGCAGACATGATAGACGATGGCAGGGCTGTGAGTACTCAGACTGTGTTTTGAACGCAATATGGAAAAGATCTTGGAGAAGAACAACGGGAATTGAGATAATTGGTGACCAGTGATGGACATTAGACCAACTGTAAAAATTGGATGCAGTTGTTTGCACTAAACCCAAACATTCATCATCTTCACTCATGCGGCCCCCCTGGCGCCAGCTGAAGGCCTGCCAAGGTTGAAGCCGACTGGAACAACAAATTCTTCCCATGATAACAGGATTGTTGTCAGAACTCTTTGTATCTCCTTCAAGGCCACCTGGGTCCACTGGAGACTGTTGCCCTTCGCTTAACTGGGCGTGGTGACACTTTCTCTCAGCTGAACACGGGATACGCACACGCACGAAACATGTACACTGATACTGATACTGATACGCCCTCACTATCACCCTCCCTCCCCCGAATCCAACGCCTCCTGCTTACCTCCCATCCGATGTGGACACCGGATCAGCTGGAGGCGCAATCGAAGATTGCAGCGGTCCATGATCAGCTGTACACACTGGAATACTCTCCCATGTTGCTTGTCTGTGTTTTATTGTGTTATGGTGTGTTGATTAGGGATGGGTATCGAAAACCGGTTCTTGTTGAGAACCAGTTCCCACTGTTTCAATTCCTTGGAATTGTTTGCCATTTTTGCAAACGATTTCCTTATCGATTCCAGTCGCCTCGAATGACGTCACCACAT